TTTTTTTTTAGCAAATTTTAAATCGAAATCACAAATTTTATCACAAAAAAACAAATGCAATTAAGTTTTTTTCACCAACTCATGCAACCCTTTTACACGGGCAAAATCAACTCACTTCAACTATTCAAGAATTTCACGTGAGGACAGAAGATTTCCTCAGATAGCCTTTGCAGCACCTTCAGGGTTGGTCATGTGAATTTGCTGTGTTGACCAAGAGAAAGCTGCTTGGTTTAAAAGTGACTTCTGTTTCAGCTGTGATTCATACATTGCTACACTATTAACAATTACCTTTTTTTTGGTCTGCGAATTTTCCTTAATTTCACTTATCTGACCGCACCTTAAATGTGCCTTCCGTTCGATTAAATTTCAATGCAAGAACATGCCCTGTGTAAATGGACTGACACCAGTTTTTGGTGTTAATGTGAGAAAAAGAAATGATTAAAGAAATAAAGAAAGGCACAAACATAATTACATCTTAATTAGAATTGGCCATCTTTTTTACATATATTTGCATATTAAATTACTACATTGACAACATTATTAATGTTTGTTACATTTATAATGCTGGAAATTGTCAAAATAAGACAAAGGGAGATTTTCAAAATTGCATTTGAGATTTCTTTAGAAATATAATGTTTACAAAACAAATCAGCCAAGACTAAAATTATTAACAAAAAAAAAGGATAAATTAACTGCAGTCATTTAATACTTTGAGTTAGAAGTTAAAAACAAACCTAACCAGAATGTTTAAAGGATATTAATAGAGGAGTGAATGCACTGGACCTGGTTTCTGTCTGATGATTGATTACATCTCAATGCTGTACGTTCCAGAAAGGAGCTACAACAAAGAGCAGACTTGTGCTAGAACAGCTTTTTCACGTAACTGTGGATATTATGTGTTTAAAGACATGGAATAATGTGTGTCAGTGGACACAGGACATTGTTGTTTCCAATGACGACAACACACCAGCTCAAAACACTTATTCAATAAATGCAGTTTTCGGTTTCGCAAGACTCCAAGGTAATTAAGCATGCAATCATAAAGACTTTAATTGAATTGCTTTTTAAATGAACAGTAGATCAGTGCCAAAAACCAAAAAGGAAAAACAAGCAAAACTTGTTTTGATCTAATGTGTGATAGTCAAAAATGAATGCACTGGAGAATAAGAAACAAATTGGCATCATCCAAAATCAACCAATACAGCTTAATTTGAACACGATGTTTTCTGTCTCAATACATAATACAGCCTGAAATTACAGATGTTTTACAGCTCATCTACGAGACAATAAAGACCAAAGGTTCTTACACTAAAAATGAAACTACAGAGGAACTTTACCACATGGCACACTGACATTTAACAAAAAAAGGGACTACGGCACCACAAGAACAAAACAGAGTCATCAGCCTTGCCTGCCCATGTGGCCTTATTTAAACCCTGGCCAAGGCTGTGCTACCTCCATGACAATTGTGCAATTTCTCCACAGCAAGATGCTGCGAGCCAAAAATCACTTACCTTGATATCAGCACTGATCAAAAAATCTTTAAAACAGGCCATTGATTAAATCATTAGTGTAGTACAAACAGCTAAAGCTATAGAACTTGAGCATTAAAGCTTCATCCACACAGGATTACAAATAGGCCACTTAGACCCTCAATACTATTACATTGGTCATTTTATCCTCAACATTTTATACTAAGACAAGTTTACAGTCATAATAAAATGTAATTACAATGAATCTACAACGGGACTTCAGATACAACTCACATCTGTCAGCTCAAATGCAAAATGTGTCCATAAAATACCCAACATTTACAATTAATAACATTGAAATGAATGGTATAATGGATAACTCTGCATAAAACTGAATTTATTGATCCAGTCAGGTGCAATATAAAAACCATGTTTTATGCCTTGAAAATTCCCCTGAACAGAAAGGCTGTATCTGAAAGCAAACAATCTGCTTTGCATTCTTAAAAATGAAAATAAGGGAAAACCCCATGTTCTGAAAACAAGTCTATAACATTTTATTTTCTCAAATATAGGCTACATTATCATTCAAAAGTTTGGGGTCAAAAATAAAGTTATGTCAGCAATAATGCCATTTTATCATCAAAAAAACATTTAAAACAGTAAAATTGTGCTGCATTATTACATTGTAAATAATTGTTTTATTAAATGTACTATTTTAATAAAGCTGAATTTTCAGCAGCCATTACTCCAGTCATCAGTGTCACAAGATCCTTCAGAAATCATTCTAATATGCTGATTTGCTGCTCAAGAAAGATTTCTTATTATCAATGTTGAAAATAGTTGCGCTGCTTAATATTTTTGTGGAAACTGTGATACATTGTTTTCAGAATTCTTTGATGCATAAAAAATTCAAAAGAACAGCATTTATTTGAAATGGAAATGTTCTGCAACAATAAACGTCTTTGCAATCACTTTTAATCAGTTCAATGCATCCTTGCTTAATCGTTTTAAATGATAAAGTCAGCACAGCACTTACCTGAGGCCCCCATAGGAGAGGTGGCAGGGGTGACATTTTGGGCATTTAAGCCCAGAGTGTGAGATGGAGCTGGTGGGACAGGCTGTGATGAGGCCCCGGAGGGCTCTGGCAAGGGTCCTGGGGGAGTCTCTCTCTGTGGAGATGTCAAAGGGGTGCTGGGCTGTGACGTCTGCCCTCCAGCTAACCGGGCCAGTCGCCTTCTACGGATCTAAACAAGGCAGATTAATTACAATTTAATCTAATTACTAATCAATAATGAGCAACAGTTTACAGTCTGATGACCGCAACTGCTCTTATTTGGCAACTACAAGGGCAGACCCTTAAAAGCAAAGAGGGCATTTCTATATACTATTTCACACACGCTTTTGAAGCAAACAAACAGCAGTATGTTTTTAAAGTCCTAAAGCGGTCATTATTTTCAGCAGCAGTGACAAATCATCTCTATACATTGGAGTGAGTCATTTGAGATGGAGAAGGCCTCAGCTTCCACAGCAAATACTGTCAGTGAAATGGCAAGGAAAGGCAAAACGCATGACTGAATGAATCAAACGTGCAAAAAATGGCCAAACCCAGTCTGAATCAGCAAAGGATGATTCATCTCAGTTCACAGATATACTGCTTCTGCAACTCACATTTAATTGTATATTATTTCAGATTCACATTGAATAATGGTAGCAAGTAACACCGAATAAATGCATTATAAATCAATATAGCAGCTTATTTTGAAAATGTATATTAGCTCTGGCTGACATTAAGATCTAAGATAAATGACTGACATCCATGAATTAAAACTCAAAATGGGTTTATTTATCTATTTTATAAATTTATGACCTATTTTTAATAAATAAATTGTCTATTATTTTAAATTAATATAAGGCAGCTGATGAAAAAAGAAGCTTGAACCAGCTTAAGATGGCTTGCTGGTCTTAGCTGGTCTCCCAGCCTGACCAGCTCAGAAAAGACCAGACTGTGAGACCAGCAAACCTGCATAGGCTGGTTTAAACTGTTTTTCCAGGTCAGAGCTGGGCTGAGTTTGGTCTTATTTTACAGCAGAACAACTAAACACAAAGCCCTGTCTGTAAATACACACCAGTGTCATACAGCAACAACAACCAGTGCCAAATAACGTTATCCAAAACCCGAAATCAAGAGCTTTATGGGATAAAATGCACTTACAATAAAGATTACCACAAAATACTACGTGTTTGTTGAGTTACCAAAGGTTTTTAAGCTTCTACAGCTGACCACATGATAAATATACTGACCTGACACCTGACAAAAGCTTGTTGCGCATGATTTCAGTTTCTAAACCAGGTGCCATTTAATCAAATACATACCCTTGGCAAAGTTAACCTTCATAATTGCACATATCATCACGACTGTAAGTTAAATTGACCAAACATCTGGTCCGAAATTATTTTATCTCTTCACACGACAGTCTTTCAGCCATTTTGGATTCCCAGCGAAGAAAAGCTTCACAAAAGAAATGTTAACTTGTCAACTGGTTACACGCTCCCCAGCGACTGCAAACGATAAGGCTGTTATTTTAATTGTGAAAATAAAAATAAGAAAAAAGCAGATGATCGAGGCTTGTGGCAGATCCAGTTTGTCAAACGTATCACTTGCTAACGAGCTGACTGGAAATAACCTCCATATTCTCATTTAATTTCGCTTCTATATCGGCACTTAAGTTGCTCAAAATGAGATTCAGAATCTAGCCTCATTTATTTCTATGCGAAATAAATTTAATCTGGATATATTGAGTTGTTGGTTAGCCGGTGTCCTGTTAGCTTATCCCATCATTACTGCGATTGAAAAAGAAGGTGACAATGACAAGCCAATAAGCATTTAATAAAACCCAAAAACATAACAGTCATGCAATCAGAGAAGCCGTATCGACTGGAAATACATTGATTACACTGTGTGGAAATCGCCTTACCTCTTCAGGACTGAGCTGCTCCATTGCCTTTCTTTTAATTTTCAGCTTAATTATGTTGCTAGCCAGTCAGCTAGCTTCCTTATAAACACCAAAAGTGCATAGTCTGAACCATAAAACAAATATCAATGAGCTGTGATTGTCTAATTTAAATCTTTATATTAAAACATCAAACGCGCGTGACTTCCGATATGGAAGGGTTATATTCGGTATCTTTTAAGAATGAAACAAACACAAAAGTATTATTCGTCAAAACACCGACGCGGCCATTTTGGATCTGGAGTCACGTGACGCGAGATCGGCACATTCCAGGCTGCGGCAGTTCAGGAAACTGATTTCACTGCTGAGGCGACCTCAAGAGACTTGTTTTCTTCAGAACCAAGGGCCAGTTTCATAAACACTATGTCACTATAAAGTCACTATGTTAAGAACTAGTTTGACCAACTAGCACTTAGCCAAGAGGTAACCAATGTTACTTTTCTGATTCAAACTTCAATTATTAATCATTTGTTTTGTAAATTGGCTAAATTATTATTTGTATTTGTTGTTGTGGTTTTAAAAAGAGAGATGATGATAATGATTTGTTGATTGTAAATCCTTATAAAAGAGACATTGCAACCCAGTATTAGCAAATAAACACACAAAGTAAAAATCAGCAAAAAATAAAACTAAATAAACCAGTTACAAACTGTTTTTTTAAGTATTCAAAAAGAGGCATGGTCCTTAATTAGTCATATTCTGGTGAAATAATGATTCTGGGGTGCAGAAATACTGAAGCGCATTACACATTGCTAAATGTCTGTGAATGTGGTTCTTGTATTACATGTAAACATGATTAGGCAAAGTTGGCACAACTATGGACAACATACAGTGTTACCAGTGGGTAAGCTGCTGCTGACCTGACTTCTGTTTGTTCATGGTCTTATGGCGCCCTCTAGTGACACTATAAATCACGCTCATAGACACTCTGGCTCAGTCTGCAAGCCTCTCGCTGAATGTAGTTGATTAGTCAGGTATTGAGGCACAAGTTGACGCTCATGGTTCTTCCTCTTGCCTCATATTCCTCTGACTCTGAAGTGAGTTTAAAGTGTAAACCGCTTTGTTTACATCAGTACACCTTTTCTTGTAGTAAACATCACAGCAGGGCCTCAAACAACCCGTTTGAAAACTTGTTTGCAGACTTGATCTTCACAGTGCAACTCCTATAAAGGGTTGAGAGGTATGATTATTAGTGAGGTGATTAATGAAATCAGCTATTTTTTAATCATCACTATTTTTATAGTGTAAGATGCTTAATTTCACACTTACCAAATGGAGTTTGTCGTCCTCGATCCAGTGTGCCCAACCTCTGTTCTTCTTCTCACCTTTTTGAATGCACACCAACTTGTTCCCCTCCCATGCCACCAGAGACTAGAGAAATCAATTTAGGTTTAATTTAAAACATAAAACATCCATTTTGTCTTTTCAGAAAATATTTGCATTCAAACAGCCTAAAGGGCTGTCAGTTTTCTTCTATGAAATGTTCTATTAAATGTCATGGAAATAAATTAATCAATAAAGTAACATTTAATTTTACCGTGTCCTTGTCACACGTTACATGTACTTACTATAGTAAAAACAGTAAATTATGTGTTGCAATATAATGATAAATCTTTGTAATACCTTGCAGTGTCTGTCATCCAGTCCCTTGGTGAACTCTTGAAACTCCTCATTGACTCTGAAGGAGAAAGTGTAGTTTCTGATGGTGCTGAGAGTCTTGACGACATATCGATCCCCCACCTGCTCGATCACCTTACGATGTTTTAGCTTCAGGGCGATCTTGCGGGTGTACAGACTTATCCCTGTGAGAAGATAAAGTTTAGGACCTATTACTCCTGACACATTAAAAACAAATGGAATGGTTTACACACTATAATATAATATAGTATAATATAATATAATATAATATAATATAATATAATATAATATAATATAATATAATATAATATAATATAATATAATATAATATAATATAATATAATATAATATAATATAATATAATATAATATAATATAATATAATATAATATAATATAATATAATATAATATAATATAATATAATATAATATAATATAATATAATATAATATAATAAACATGCAATAAGAAAAAATAACTATAAGCTATATGTCAATTTTAGCAACAGAATTAAGAACAATTATCTATTTCAACTAGAAAAAGAATGCTTACCTAAAGCAGTCATGTATCCCTCAAAGTTGACATTGCACACCATGTCCCATGAACCACAGAGGCTTACAGGCATTTTGTTAACCGTCTGCAAATTATTCCAGTACAAAACAAGGTGCAAGGTGTGAGCGTGACAGCCAGAAGGATTCCCAGCACTTATATGTGTTGTGAGCTGAGTGGGCGGTCCCTCGTATCTACGTATTCTAATTTGCACGTCGTCAACTCTTCAAAAGGTCATGCCTTACGTAAAGTAAAACGTGTCTGACAGGTGTTTATGTGTAAATAGTTTGCCAAAACACACCCGTTAACACAATACTACCTGTTCAGACGCTAAATTAGTCATAGAAAATGCAACGCTTGATATATGATTAAAATATGCGATATATCTATTACAAAGTATACTTAATGTCGTCACACTCAATTTTTCTCTCATTAACTTTGTTTGCATGTCTTCAATTTTTCTGGTCTTCCTTGTAATTTGATCAAAGGTATCTTTGCAGCAGCAAGAAAAAAAATTCCATTGCTGTCAAATGATCCCACATAAGACATCATCATCATCACATGAGCGCCACAAAACAAAACAATTGCGCACGTGAAGTTACTGTGAATTTCTTAAAAGATTATAAATATAGAGACCGAAACTTGCTATTTCTGAGCATGTGAGGATACATATGTGTTAACTAAAACTAAATTAAGTGACACTGTGTGGATACAATACATCTAGGCTATAATGCATAAGCTTATACTCTTTTATAAATCACATGACTGATTAAACAAATTTGATCACAATAAAGAAAACTACAAGGTGTCAAATGTGACTTGGAAGTGAATATTACACTTGCTAAGATGTTTTTATTATATGCAAATACACAATCTGTGAAAGACCCATTCATTTCGTCAATGAATGGTTTAAACCAGAAGGATTCCCAGCACTTATATGTGTTGTGAGCTGAGTGGGCGGTCCCTCGTATCTACGTATTCTAATTTGCACGTCGTCAACTCTTCAAAAGGTCATGCCTTACGTAAAGTAAAACGTGTCTGACAGGTGTTTATGTGTAAATAGTTTGCCAAAACACACCCGTTAACACAATACTACCTGTTCAGACGCTAAATTAGTCATAGAAAATGCAACGCTTGATATATGATTAAAATATGCGATATATCTATTACAAAGTATACTTAATGTCGTCACACTCAATTTTTCTCTCATTAACTTTGTTTGCATGTCTTCAATTTTTCTGGTCTTCCTTGTAATTTGATCAAAGGTATCTTTGCAGCAGCAAGAAAAAAAATTCCATTGCTGTCAAATGATCCCACATAAGACATCATCATCATCACATGAGCGCCACAAAACAAAACAATTGCGCACGTGAAGTTACTGTGAATTTCTTAAAAGATTATAAATATAGAGACCGAAACTTGCTATTTCTGAGCATGTGAGGATACATATGTGTTAACTAAAACTAAATTAAGTGACACTGTGTGGATACAATACATCTAGGCTATAATGCATAAGCTTATACTCTTTTATAAATCACATGACTGATTAAACAAATTTGATCACAATAAAGAAAACTACAAGGTGTCAAATGTGACTTGGAAGTGAATATTACACTTGCTAAGATTATTTTTATTATATGCAAATACACAATATGTGAAAGACCCATTCATTTCGTCAATGAATGGTTTAAAAAAAATCTTTCAGTCATATGAGTTTTGTGAGTCAGGGAAACTCACGTAAAGTCTTTTTCTTGTTACTATTTATAAATCTGTCCAGGTCACAGATGACGTCGGATATGACTTCCGCGGAAAACAAACTACTTCACTATGTGCACGGCAGAGACGACGTTTTATTCCTGGGAATTCCCACTTTTATTTAGTCTATGTGTGGTAAAACAAAGAGCTTCAGAAATGAGCACTGATCTAACAGGTCTTCAGATTATGATCATGTTCTGTAACGACGAAAAAGCTTGTAAGAGCTTCACTGTCAAATTGCTGTCAGCAAAAATATCAGCACTGAAAACTCACAGATAAAAAATATCTGATGTTGAAATGCTCAGAGCAAATATTTTCACTTGTCAAATAAATGTCACTGAGTAAATGTGGCATATCATAGCTTGAATTCTAGAGCAACCTTCTCAATGACCCTTGACTCTTGTTATGCAAACACATTTCATTATAATATAGAGATATTATAATGAAAAAGATAAAAGGACGATTCTAAACAGGTTTTCCATTTATTAGCACCGAGTGATTTAGAGCGTTTATTGCTCTAAATATTAAAATAACTTTTTGTATACTCTTGAGGTAAACAGTAAGCTTAATATTCAAAAATAATTTATCAAAATTTCTCTTCTACAAGTAACTTTCTATGTTTGGCAGCAAACTACAATAAAACAAATTTTCTGAATGTATCAATCTCTTTATTTAAAAATGTAAAACATATTTCAATCAAATAATATTTCCCAATATTTAGCATATATTTTTGATCATACTGAATCATTCATGATAACATTCATGATGCAAAGCAGTCACTCACCACCAAATGAGTTCAAGGAAGCAAAATGAACTATGAATCAAGTGTCAGTCAAGTTCTGTGGGCAACAGACCAGCCCTCTATCAAAGACCACAAACACAACAAGAAACTAGTTCAAAAGCAGCAGAACATTTTAGTCTAGTTAGTGCTGGTGTATCTCTGAAAAGGGGCGAGGATACATCAGCATTCTTCTGCTCGCTCTCAGCACAGACTGTGTTCTTGAATATAGCGCACCACAGGGTCAGGCAGCAGGTAGCGGACTATCTAAAATATAGATTTATGACAATAATACACATCATTTTAGTGATTTTGAATGTTTTAATCGTGGATCTTGTTATGAAAATCATGATTCGTTTGAAAATTGTGCTCCTTTACAAAGCCATATGGGCAAGCCAACACTATATGTTAATTACAGTATGGTTAGCAACTATAAATATTATTAAAACACGAAGACAGAGTATGTTGTATGTGAGTAAATTATATTTTAGCTTATTTAAAAAAAAAAAAAAAGTGACACTACCGTTCAAAAGTTTGGGGTCACCAAGATTTTGTTTTGTTTTGTTTTTTAAAAGAAAGAAATGAATACTTATTCAGCATGAATACACCATACAAGTTTTTGTTTTCAAATAAATGCTGTTCTTTTGAACTTTATATTCATCAAAGAATCCTGAAAAAATGTTTTCCACAAAATATTAAGCAGTACAACTGTTTTCAACACTGATAATAAGAAATGTTTTTTGCACATCAAATCAGCAATTAGAATGATTTCTGAAGGATCATGCAACACTGAAGCCTGGATACATTGCTTTTTAAATTATATACAATTAGAAAAAAATATATTTTAAATTGTAATGCAATTTTACTGTATTGCTGTTTTTACTGTAGTTTTTATCAAATACACTCTTAAAAATAAAGGTGCTTCACGATGCCATAGAAGAACCTTTTTGTCTAAATGGTTCCATAAAGAACCTTTAACATCTGAAGAACCTTTCTGTTTCACAAAAGGTTCTTTGTGGCGAAATAAGGTTCTTCAGATTACAAAAACGCAAGAAAGAGATGGTTCTTTAAAGAACCTTTGACTGAATGGTTCTTTGTGGAACCAAAAATGGTTCTTCTATGGCATCGCTTGAAGAGTGTACATGTAGCATTGGTGAGCATAAGAGACTTCTTTTCAAAAACATAAAAAAATCTTACAGACCCCAAACTTCTGACCGGTAGTGTTTTCATAATGTATTTACATTGTATATTTTTACAGTCTTCATATTATATTTTATTTTTATATGTATGTCATATTTGTATTTAATATTTTATATATTCTTTTTTAAATAAAGAATATTTTTACAACTCTTTTAAATTTTGTTATAACATGTATTAATAATAAATACAAATTAAATTAGTGTTTCATTTGAGTATATTGCTGTAAAAATCGGTGTCCACTGCAAAACCAAAATCCAGTAGAAAAACACTGGTCTGTTCTCAAAAAGTATTTCACATGTTTCTCTTCATTAGTAGTTTCAATTTTCACTTCTTACACCTTTACATTTGCTTCAAAGTGTTCCACTAGCAGAGGAATGCTGTCAGACAGTGCTGAGAGATGCAGATTGTGCTGAACTGTGTAAACACTCATAAATATAACTCGCTGTACATTGTTTCTCTACTGTCTGGAGAGCACATCAGCCGTTAATTTTATTGCCTGTTTTCAAGTATTGTGACAGAGTGGCATTCTAAAGTAAACACCCTTTTAAGTGCCCTGAGCAATAGTTCCTATTAGAATTTATCCTAAGGACTGCTGTGGATTATTTTAGCTTTTTTATTATTTTACCATATACTTGCTTTTGTGTTAATATAAGAAGAGCTCTGACAAATGTTTTTATTTTGTTCCAGCTTTCTCCTCTTCCCACACCTCACTGTGTCCTCATCATTGTTGTTCTCGCTGGAAATAAGTTCTGCATGATGGTGCCTAGTAAAGATCAGAATGATCTGATTTAATGTCAATTTTGCATAAAACTTTGATCATTTTGACATAGTAGCACATCAAATATGACGTCCTACCATGCACACAAGATCAGATGTGACATGGAACTCATGCAAAAAAAGAAAACACTACAATAGGTGCAAAACAGAATAGGTGTATCAGATTTATCTTTCACTTCACCCAAAATGAAGTCTCTTAAATCACATGATCTTAAGACGTTCCCACCGAACTACTTTGGCTGTCTCCACCCACTCCGGCTGCGAGAGGGTGCTCGCTGCAGAGCCAAATGGGAGGAGCTGGAGCTCTAGCTCCCCCTCGCTGGATGTAATGGGTGGAGCTAGACACCCAACCACTCCCTAACCCTACCCCTTACCCTATCGCTAAACATAACTCCACCCATTAGTTCACACAGAGGTGGAGCTGGACATCCAGAGAGGGGGAGCTGGAGGTCATTTGGCTCTGCAGTGAGCAGTACTTGCCGGCTGCTGGCTCTCCCAGTCATCCACTGTGATCCAATCAGAGTTCTCCGTGGCTAGCCATCTCTAACTGATGGCAGGCTTCAATCAGACCTGTCTTTTTATAGCTATCTCCAAATGGAGAGATTAT